AGAAGCGTGGTCTTTCGACATGTATGGTAGTGTAGTGCATGTGAGTGTAAGTAACAGGTGAGGATAGGACAAGGAAGAGGAAGAAAAAATCGCGCGCGGTCCGTTTGTTAGGGCTCTGCTCCGGCATTCGCTTGGTGTTGATTGGAGGAACTAGGGAAAACTACCGATCAGAGCAGCCGGCCGCTAGAATTGTCCGCGAGAAAGCGGCTGAATTCGACCCAGCTGTCCAGTTAGTGTCGAAAATCCTGTCACCGTCGGGACTCAAACCCTAGGACCTCTCGGCTAGAAGCACTCCAGTGAGTTAATTGTCATTATTTCATGACTACCTTCAAACAACTATGCTTCGATTTTCGGATAACAAAGTGGCTTTCCTGAAGAACTAATTAGTGCATAGTTGTATTCACATACTTTGTTGTGTTTTTTTGTCAAAGATTTAAGATTTTAAATAATATTTCAAAAGTTCTGTTTCGAATTACAATTTGAAAGTTATTTTGTAAATAGTTTTAGTGTAGTCTAGTATAGTAGTAAATATGGAAGACCAATAATCTCAAGTGGATAACAAACATATTTTCGAGAAACGATCTTAATTTCAAAATTATTGTTAATATCTAATTATTTTTATTGATGTGTCTCAAATATAGGAATACATAAGCATTTTAATGAAAACAAATTATCTAAAGCTTTGAATATTAGGAATTATTATGACTTGACATTCTTACAAATTGTTGATGCATTTCTCCGACCACTGTTTCCCTACGTGGATCCATTAATAACTTTACAAGTGAGTTTCATATATGAAGAGAGCTTACGAATCTTCAAACTGGTTCTGCTGTTCTTCCACCTACGCTTCGGTGATGTATTCGTCTGATATCTCTTCAATAATGTTCTGCTTTGAGTAAGAGTCAATATATGCAACACAACAGGTGGGCACAAGTTTCTACATGCCGCCATAGATGAAGCACATTAGTTACAGGAGAGAAAAAATCCTAGTCAATTTACTAGCATCTATCATAATCATTAAAAGTCCAAATATTTATATTATCAAAGAGATTCCTATTGATTCTTGAATAAAAACTAACGAAATAATTAATTTAGTTGTATTACGAGGATTTCTTTGGATAATATGGAAATGTGTATTCCATTCAGCTACGGAAAAATATTGAAGGTCAATACATTCTTTATTTACTTCTTGAATAGAAAATATTTGTTGCAATCTATTTTTAAAATAGTTCGCCATCAAACCTGAAGGTACATTATTCATGTAACAGTATAATGTTATGTGTTTTATGTTGCAAACATCCTTCTATAAAAAAAAACTATTTCTTCCGTAAAATATGTTCGCGAAGACGCTATCGTTTGAAAGTTACCTGAAGGGTCAGTATGTATGTTCTTTTACCGTCAAGAGTATTTCAAATAGGGGACCGCGTATGACAGTAAACGGTAGCTGTTATAAAAGTGCGCCTTTTATTCGCAACCCGGCATACAGTTGTGATGTGCGGGACCCCTACCATTCAGGGGTAATTGTAATGGAGCAATTTAAAATTCAATACAAATCTTTATTACCTATCCACATTTACAAAGAAAATAATGAATAATTCTAACTGTTAAAAAATATTATTTTTATGACTAATTAAGGGGTGGTCATTGTATTTTAGGTATTTAGTTTAAGAAATGCGTTCTATGGAGAACGAAATTATAGTAGTGCGGTGATATAGGTTAGTCCAAAGAAATGTCTCATTTTGAACGTAGGACGCAGAACAAAGAATTTCGATGTCATCAATTTAAACTGATTATTAAAGTTCTTAACTTATTAACTATGGTAAAAGAACCCAACACAGCGGCAATACTTTGCAATTAACAGAAAAGCATATCAAATGACTAATGAGAAAATGCTTCTACAATGTATCAAAGATAACAATTTTACAGAAAAAACGTCAGAGAGTTCGGAACATAATCCAAAATCTCTTGAATGAACAAATTTTGTAAAGGCTCCATGAACTAAATTTTCAGTAATTTTTCAGATCAGTACCTGGCGAATAGTGGAGCAGTACCCAACAAATGGGTAACGGATCGCGTGCTATTTTCTCCTCATCCTTATTCCTTCATCTCCCCTTAAGACCAATGCCTTTCCGATACCCGGAGAATACCAGCGGGTGGGTGACAATGCGGGGATTTGGAGCTAGACTTAGATTACATTGCAATATACAATTGTAGGATTTTTTTAATACTTAAGAACTAATGCAATGTATTTAGCAATAAATTACATCTTGCCGATCTGGATAGCCGAGGTCGCTAAAGTTGAGTCGTAGATGCCTCGTGCCTGAAGGGTCGCGGATTCGAATCTCGCTCGGGGCATGGATGTTTGTGATGTACGATTATGCGAGTTTCGTTACTGTTACCACTAAAGTTACAAACTCCAACGTTACTTAATATTACTTACTTAAGATAAGTTATATGAATATTATTTCTGCAAGTTTGTGTTAAAATATTTTCAGTCTTTTACGTACACAATTTTAAAAAACAACTAATTCACCATTTACAATGTTCTTCCGATTGCACTGTTAATTATAATGATTATAAAATGTTATAAATAACGGCCATAACTTAAAAAAGTAATTTTTGGGGTGTGATTAGAATTGCAAATCATAAACGTGCTGTTCTTCGTTGAGCAATCAAATGACAGAATAACAAACGAAAATAGGGAAATACTACCTTCTTCCCTTTTTCTCTCGCTTTTATTGATCTCGTACCAATGGTGAATTTTCTTATACAATTTGTATACCTGAATATTGCTTCTTTATTCTCACAGCATCTTTGAGTCGCATGGGGGTTTTATTGATGAGTGAGTGTATCTGTTTACACGAAATGTCTTATTGTAGCTATTCTATCTTCGCAAGAACTGTCAATTTCTTACATGAAAAAAAGCCTGTCCTTGACCTCGAGTAAGTGACTCATCCATTCGTAGTGAAACGAATTACTTTCAACGCTGCTTTGTTTTCGGCGATAGCTTAGCCATCGGATGGAAAAAGGATTAAATCATTTGCATTATATTCACGAGTTGGTTTAACTGAAAATGCAAGTGAATACAGGTCTAAAATGTTATAAACAGTAAATAATTAAGTAAATGAAAATTTATCTCGTTAACTGCGTGCCAATTAACTATTTCGTGATAGATGTTATAGACCATGATTCTCAAGAAAATAACATATCTACAATATTAGAATAACACCTAATATATTCGTATAATATATAATATATACATTTTATATTCTTTTGGTTTTTGTTTATTTTTTTACATGATAAGTGTGTGGATTGTTAATTTTAGTTAGATGTCTGGTGAGAGCATTGACCCTTGCGGTAATCCTACTTGCGTATTTTTTTGATCTGATAAGGTATTATTTATTTTCACCAAGGAACGATTTTGTAGGGAACATTTAATTAATATCAAATAGAAAATGAGGTATTCCCAAATTTCCAATTTTATACGATATCCATGGATGCCAAATTTTATCGAAAGCTTTTTCTGCATCAAGAAAAGTAGCTAACGTGTGTTTATGCTGGTGAAATGAGTTTGCAATATTTTCAATTAGTCTTAAAAACTGCTGAATGGTAGAGTATTGTTCACGAAATCCAAATTTTTCTTTTTCAATTGTTCTTTTAGGAAATTGTTTAATGTTTTATGGATTAATTTTTCAAATACCTTTCCTATATTAGATAGTAAACGTATTGGTTTGGTTGAGGGCAAACTGTGGTCTTTACCAGATTTGCTTATTGGTATTATTATGGCTTGTTTCCATATATCCAGAAAGTAATTAAGTAATTAAAGCTGTATTATTTATTTCTGTAAGCCCTGCTATTGTTGCCTGTGGATGTTCCATCAGAATTTGCGCGGTTATTTGATCATTGCCTGCTGGTTTCTTTAGTTTTAATTTAAATATTATTTTACTGTTTGTGATGTAGATATAATTTTATTTTTTGAGAAACTGCAGCGAATAGAAGAGTTAAATGTCTGGTGAGATAGCTCAGCCTTGTCTGGTGAGATAGCTTTTCAATTTGTCTATTGTGATTCATAATGTCCGGTTTATTTTGAGTAAATATCGTTTCGAAATTAGTGGGTAAAGCAAACACTTTTTGATTGTCCGTTAGGGCTGTTAGATTATTTGTTGTTTAAGGAGGGTAGTTTATTACCTTCTTTACTTAATTTTTCAATTGTGCTTCGTAGGTGTCTAGATCCTTTCGGTATTTGAGTAATGAAACTTTGGAACCCATTAAATCTTATGTTCGTCTATATTAGTTTTTACTGTTCTTCGATTCTGATTTATTTTGCGTTTTATGTATGGGATTTGCGTTTTCTGCCATTTCCGTCTTAGTAATTTTTTTCTTTAATTTAATTGATAGTACATAAGTCCGTAAAATCTGTTCAGATAAGCAAGATTGCTGTTTACATTTCCAATTCTATAAATTTATCCATGTTCTTTGAAACAAGTAGAAACAATTACACGTATACAACAAAATAATAATATTCTATGACAATTTTATTTAGCATTTTAAATTACCCATTTTTATATTTTTTGCAAAAATATCACTGTGTAATCAATTTTCAGCATCACATAATGTATATTTTACGTTATTAGTTTCAAAAATTGAATGCCAATATATTACATTGAGTTTCCTTTGTATATTTATGTTATGTAAAACTTGTATAGTTACTTTTTCTTTCGGTTCATATTTCCTAGTGGCCATTGATAATTTTGTTTTCCTTTTTTGCGTGTAATTTTTTTTCTCGTTATTTTTTTGTTTATTTGCCAAACTGTTTTCCTTTCTTTTGGTTATTGCAATACCTGCTTTGCTTCTAGGGATTATATATTTTCGGCTGGGCTTTGATATGCTAACTTTTCACACTGTTTTAATTTGCTTGGTTGGTTGTTCCCTCTTTCTTAAATGCTTGTGCTGACACTCCCTCGGGCTTCCTCTGCTTCTCAGCACGAGTGTCGGGGGCCTTAACGTAAAGAGCGATTGGGCGCGCTGTTGCAGCCGGGCGACGCCAGGACGTGCAGAGGAAGCGCATCGCCGCCATGTTGGCGGTGCCGGCCGCCCTGACGCTGGTGCTGTACGCGACGGCGCTGCTGCTGGCGCCGACGGCGCTGCTCGTCGCCATCGTCGTCCCGCAGCTGCAGTTCGCGCTGCCGCTGGCGCTCGTGCGCCGCGCCAACGCCATCCCCATGGAGTCCATATGAAGGCCTGTGGTTCCTCTCGGCTGCCCGGGCACGTCGAGCCGTAGGAGCTTCGGACGAGCCTTCTTCAGGGCAGACATGCAATGTAGACAGTTGGCGTTTCTGAGAACAGTTGCCCTGAAGAAGGGTGCGGTAAGATGGAAGGCAAGCAAGGCTGCGACGCGGCGGTGGCTGACTGCCGAAAGGAATCACTTTACATCGGGCGTGGAAGTCTTCGTCTTCACGGAATGGAGACCCCCGTCTCGCAACTCCATCTGGGGGTGCCATCAGGAAGCGGACTGCCATCCCTGGGCAATGGGTCGCGCAGCGGGGCGGTGGAAGCAGTTATCATGAATCAACATCACGTGGTGTGTGATCAGTGCGCATTTACGCGAAGACATGAGGTCCCGCCAACTAATGTCTGTAATATAACTTAATCACACTGTCATTCTTGACACAAATCAATATTAAATGTATACTTTTTGTTTTCCCGAATCGCAGTACAAATGGCAATGCAAATGTACCACTATGTTGCTTTTTTACGATTTGATTCATCAAGTGCTTATCTTTTTACGAAACGAAAAATTGCAAATGAAAAAAATTCTCCGTTCTTGTATGTGTTCTTACTGTTGAACATGTAAAAAATTGTTTCTGCAGAAAATAGTGAAAATAAGATAGAGACAGAAAGGTGAGAAACACACTCAGAAGATGTCGACTGTTACAAGAAAAGAAACAGTAAACATAAAAAAAATAGAATTATTTAAAGAAAATGGGCGTTACAGAGTTGCAATATAGTTATTTCCTTTTCGTTTCTTTCAGAAACGATGTTGCAAAGACACGCTCGCAACTCCTGAGAACCGTCCGCATCACAACCCAACCCGAACTGCCAAAAGTCCGCCGTCGTCCGTTTCCGGGCCTCCCCTAGCGGGGTCTCTTTGCCCTCTCTCCCCGCATCCGCGCCCCTCGCCCTTGCCTTCGCCCGGGCCACAGCGCGCCCCTGCCACTCGCGCTGCGCCGCGCGGACCGCTCGAGCGGAAAGCGAGACAGACCCTCTCACTGCCGCGGGCAGAGTGACGCAAGGCGGCGCATAACGGCCCTGAGAACTCCTTCCCCCTCCCCCACCGCGTCGTACCACGCGACTCAAGCTGGTGGGAAAACCGCTTTATGAAGATGGCCAGCGCGACTGAAGAGCGCGTAAATCACGCCCCGCCGGTGTTGAAACACAATCGACGTGCTGAAACGAGGGGAAACATTATCTCGCCTGCAATCCCAAGAAATGAGCAGGCCGTTCGTTGTAAACGAAGTTGGAAACTTGTGTGAGTAATGGAAGAAAATTACAGGGGAGATGTGGGAGTCACAGAAAATGGCCTTCTGAAGATCTGAAAAGCACCACTTAAAGGCTCATGTTTTAAGATGTAATTGTGCCGTTTCGTTTACTGAACATTCAAAACACTGCAACAAATACAGAAGCCTAAGTAAAATATAATACTGTTTTTGAACTTATATAATCGCATTTAATTACATCTTGAATCATCTCATTGGCAAATATCTAGAAATCACATGTACAGTAAAAAGACCCAACCAGAAAAATCTTTATCGACAAGAAAGTTCCTGTAACAATGTACTACATGACTGCTCATCAAACTACGATGATCTTTCGTCCAGAATACACCAGACTTATTCTACCACGCCTGCCGCATGTTGCGTCACCTAGTGACATTTATTTGCAGTGTTTCATGAATAGAAGGCCGGATAAGAAGACCCGGCCTCGAAAATTTAGCATCAATCAGTCATATCCAAAACTATTGTTACGTAACACTTCTCTCACGATGCACTACACTTCCCAGTGATGCTCAGAATACTTTAGACGTCCACCCCACGCGCCTCGAAACAGATGGGTTTCCTTCGCCTGCCGGATGCTGCCAGACGGCGTCCCGTAATGGATCGAGGCTCGGCGAGCAGGAAGCACATGCCCTCGGAACCCGGCGCGCGTGCGCGTGCTCGAACTTGACACTATGGGAATGCGAGGCACGCACCGCATCCCGTGCGTATAGCGGCCCACGCAGACGCGTCGGCGCGCACCCCCCCCTCCACGCGCGCACGCACGCACGCACGGGTCGAGGCGCCTGCCCAGGGTGCGGCGTGGGCATGGAGACTAAAACACGCGCGGATTCACAGGGAGGAAGTGAAGGCGTCGCTACCTTGAGTATGCTCGTCTAAACCCACGTCTTCACGAGTAGGGAGAGACGGCTATTGGCAAATCAATCGTATTGATTCGTCACGTTTGGAAAAAGTCAAACTTAACATTAATTTTCTTTAGAGTTTTGTGCAACGTACGAATCTGCAAATGAGGGACAAAGTAACTACAAGATGAGCAATATGTAAGTAAATTATTGTAGGTAATATATACTGTATGCGAGACGAGTTGCGGTTTCGCCAGAGCGTTTTGGGATGCAATGACTGACAAAGCTCACATTTATGAACGAAATGCAGATCTCAGAGGTGTTAAATCATTATATTTCTTTGTGATGTTTCTTTTTATTTTCAAACTAGTTTTCATTTAAATTTAACTCGTTATGACTTAACACGTTACTAAAATATCCTTATATTATCTCAATTCAAATTATATTCTGAAAACCAAACTGAAACTAATTCGTTTTTAAGTTCTGTTTTGCATAGTAGTTTATATAAATTGATATTATTGTATAATTGAATAATTTCAGTGTATTTGGAAAGTAATGGACGTGGTCCAACTTTGATTTCAGAGTACCGGACTGTATATCATACTTTTTGTTTCCTAAGCATGATTACTATTGCTTAAGACATCAATTATTTGATTTGCCAATATGCTGAGAGAAAAATGAAAAATAGATTGGAATTGCAGTAGAAATGGAAGAGAGAACCTGTGAGGAAATTAATGAAATAAAACTCAGGTACAATAGAATTATTAATTCGCAGTATCTTTGGGACCAAAGTAAATCTACATCCATTTTTGTAGGAAAACTCTGAGAAATAATATCCAACAAGGCAAAACAAAAGAAGTACCAGGAGCAAGGGATGGTAATGAGACTGCTTTTACTGAGAGTAATTCTGTATAAATATGCATGTAAATATTGCTTATGTATATATTGTTCTTTCTTTGTCATAAAATTGCCTTACAGATTCAAAAAGGATATTGTTAATATTGTTTTCAGAATGTACTCTATTGTGCTGCGTGACTGTCAGTATCTTGTGTGATTTCTGTAAATTAGATGTGTTTTTAGTTCTAAGTGTCAGGTTCTTGAGTTCCTTGGTGGGAAAAAACACTATATCCTTCAACAAAGTTTGTGACTTTAAACGACGAACTTCATATTCGTTCAAAATCTATATATTCGTACGATTATTTGTTCGATTTACATTTTTCAATCTAATGAATACGTGACCACAATTCAACACGTATCAGACTTTGTTCTTCTGTGATGATAAAGTATTATCATTTACATTAAGATTTAATTGTGGAAATGAGAAAAAATGAAATACCCTTCTAATACTTTTGGATATATTTTAAAATCCATTCGACAGAGTGTACACTTCTTGGTCGTAACTGACATTCATCCGGAATCCAAGGAATCGGAGGAAAACTAATCAGCTTATACTGACATTGAGAATTGTATACAACGCACAGAGCCTACCTTGAATCTCTTTCACCTGCTCATTCATTCCCCTTTACAATCCCGCGTTGCATTCACTGCAGTTGCGCAAGATGCATGAAGCTGCACAATATTCAAGATCCCTCTCCTGCGACTCGGCACAATGCAAGTCGCCTTGAGCCGCCCGAGTCATCCATATTCATCGGCGGGCGAAGCGCAACGCGAGCAATCGAGTGTCGAAACGCGTGTCGCTCGGCCGGGCGCACACCAACTGGATCACGGCTCACCCTGCGACCGCACGCGGGCCCAGGGCCGCGGCGCGCGTCACCGCCGCTAACCACCGTCGCCGGCGGGCGCGGCGGCGTACGTGCCGCCGCCATCACCCGCCCGCCACGCCCAGCGACGTTCCTGGAAGCTGACAAGGCGGCACCGCCGTCGCCGGGGTCTTTCTTTCATCACTGCGTCGCCCGCCGCAGACAGCGCGCTTTCTTCTGGGCTGCTTGCGACCCGCTGCAGCCGCTCGCTTCCCGCTGCTCGTCCGCCGCCTCCAACCTCCCCCACGGACGCGTCGCGCCTGCCGATGGCCGCCTCCGCGTGCAGGAAGACGCCGTCGCCGCGCAAGATGATCGCCGGAAGCGAGGCGGACAGCGGAAGGCGTTGGCCGGCGAGAGCGGTGAGTGGTGGCCGGGGCGGCGGCCCACGCAACGGCGGCGGAGCGGGGCGTGAGCGTGAGCGGGTGTGTCTGTCTGTGGGCGGGGGCGGGGCGGGGGAGGAGAGCGCGCTGTTTGGGCGTGGTGCTGAGGACCGGACCGAGCTCCGCGTCAAGGTCTGGTGGCCGCCCCAGGGATGCGAAAACTGCGTTGGGAGTAGGCGCTTGTAAAGGCGGACTGCGGTGGTTTTTACGGCGCCAGCCGGCCTTGCTGTTCGTGGACACTAAGCGTTTTGAGTTCAAATACACGCTCCTGGCCAGAATCGGGTTCTCATATAGTGAATAATTGCATAATACGCCAAGAGACCTCCATTATCCCATGTTCTGGAGGAGACTTCAACGCAGTAGTTGAAGTGAATAGGGTGGTAGCTGAATAATTCTTCGCCAAAACGATTTTGTGGCTTGGGAGTTGGTATATCGTGACATTTGAAGAGAGAGAGAAGGTTGCCGGGTCGGGCACACATGGCCAGGTGCTACATTCCAAACACAGAATAATGTATTCCATTATGACATCAACAAACTAATGGATCAGGAGTGTTGCGCGAAAATATAGGTCTCCGGGGAGAAAACGTTGAATGGAGAAAATGACGAACGTAACCGAAGGCTCCCAAATCAATACCTAAGGAAACGGTATCTTTATGGATATAATTCCAAAAAGCATTTCAAAAGGAACAAAATGTTTAAGGGTGTTGCATCGCATATACAATATTTTAACATGTATGTATGATAGCTAAAAAAGCTCATATATTCCGATTTGTGACGTATGTGCGAACGATAATGAGCGTGTGAGAGGTGCAGAAGAATTAATTTGAGCATTAATGGTTTATGTGATGTATTATTAACGAAATCTTGTATGCCAATTAAAGTTTTAATAATGACCCCTATGGAATATTCTACAAAAAATCCTGGGCTATAAAACTTATGGAAAAAAATTGTCAATATCTATTACTGTGTGATCAAGGTTACTTTCTTTTATTCTATATCAATTCATATCTATTACACTAAATTAAATTTATTTTTCCCGTGCTCCACTTGCGTTTGATTATTCTTTGAGTTTTATTTTTGGTCACAAGATTATCCTTAGTTATTTTCATTTTACCCATGCACTTAATTATTAAATAGTTTTTCAAATGTTAAAACTTCAGATAATTGTTAGTTATTACTTTGTTTGACCATAAAGTTCGAGAAGATTTTTGTTCCTACTTTTGTATTTTCAGATAATATAAGATCAGAAATATTGTGCAATAAATTGCAAAGTTTATAACCAGAAGACTCATCCAGAGAATAAACCTATTTGTTGCTACATTTTATTAAACAGGCACCAAATAAGGTTTCAGAAACCTTGTAATAAACTTAAGAATTTTAGGGAAAATCGTTTATTGTCCGTTTCATCTGCATATTTGTCCTGTTAATATTCACGCAAAGTTGCTCACTACAAGGTCACAGGTAGATTCTTTCTTTGTTCCATTTCGGCTGGCAATCTCTAGAACTATCCACTTCGCGCCACGTCGGCTCACGTTAATCGTTCTGCCCATGCCAAGCTACATTTCTGTCTTTGCCTCCCTGTCCTATTTCAGTCATTTATTTCTTGCATTTAAGGCACATGGACGTTTGTTGGAGATACAAAGCTTAGCATTTAACAAGTGATTAAATGTGTGACGGTACGTAAACATTAAACAGATGAAAAGAATCTAAACACATGTTCCTGGGTTTCCCGAACAATTATGAATTAATGAATGACGATCTACATAATAGTAGGTACTTGATAGATCATTGTCTGCATTTGCGTTCACGACACAAGCACAATGTGAAAGCTATCGTGCCTAATGAGAGATTCAAACCTGCTATCCCGTGGTTCCGCCCGGAGCGGTTGCTGCAACACTCTGCCCCACCTGGACAGGTTCTCGAGGAATAGGCCTTGTAATTGGGAGGTTTGTTGGGCGCGAAGGCTCCGAGGTCGGGAGCTCTTGGTTCGAACCCGGGCGACGGGATCGCGGCGGAAAGCCCTCGAAGGTTGAGTGGGCGGGCGGCGCTGGCGGCGCGGGCGGTGCGCGCGCAGAGGCCGAGGGCGGGGCGACGCCGTCCGGGGCGATGGCGTGGGCGTCACCGCAAAGGCGCCGCGCCTGTGTTCTTAACTCGCATGAAATGGCTGCCAGCGCGTGTCATTTCCGTTCTTCAGTGATGTGGGTTTTTGTGATTCTTGGTGTTTTGAGATGTAATACTTTGAAGTTTGCAGAATCTGTTGAAATACTGGAAATATGAATATGTATGATTTTCCATTTGAGGAGCTTAAGGTCAAAACGTACTAACTCCTGAACAATGTGATTTGAAATGGGATGTCACAGGGTTTAATATTTTCTGATTTGGTAAATACGTTTTCTTAACTCAGTATGTTTTTTTTGTTTAACTTAATTTTGATTCGGCAGATCGTTTGATGTACAATCAGAAAAGTTCCAATTAAGAATTCGCTTCAAACTGTAATTATAAATAAATTGTACAGTTAATACATTTTGATGTGTTACTCCACATTCAGATTTTCTGCAGTTCTCTCCTTTAGTTTACTTTGTTTCATTGACGCAAATTTGTATCATATACTTCGTATTACATTGTGTTAAGAATACTCTCTTACCTCGAAATTTTTTTAATCGAATTAATTTTGACTCTTCAAAACTTCACTTTCGTTTTAAGTGCCTAGAAGGAGATTATAAATGCCAACAATTTTATACCTTTGCAGTATTAATATTTGTCTGTGAATAAAAATGTACCATTTGCACAGCTACAAGAAAACGATTCTGGAAGAATTCGTTGCCTT